TCCTAAAAATCTGTGCAAGTGTGTCCAATTGGTTTAGATTTGAGGTGCACTGCATGTGATCCTTGAAAACCTTAGATATGGCCCATAAAGCCCATCCAAACATTATTTTAATAATTATAATTTTGTACGAATAGAGATTATTTCATGTGTATGGAGTAGATTTGTTACATGTAAATTAATTATTCTTTGTCCTGGTTCTACTTTAGAGAGATGGAATTTGTTCCCCCGGAGACCAAAGTCAAGTGTTATACTTGGCCCCAAAAAAAGTTTGTATACCCAGTTTAAATGAAACTTTGGCCTGCCCATGATCACTATATGATCCTTGATACATAAGAAGTAGAATGTTTAAATGCTTGTTGTAGTTGATTAGTGAAGCTTGAAAAATATTTTATTATCCCACCAGATTGTTTCACACTGATTGACCTTTCACACACTGGCCAGTAATTTGTGGTTTACTGTATGAGAATCAAATGACTATTTTTGTTATAATATCTCACACTACCATTGAAGCCATTACAGACTGAGAGTTTTATTTTAGTGCTGAGATACCTATATTTCTAAAGACTGCTGAAGTTCAGGTTCTAAAACTTCTGTTACATTCTGTTAAAAATCCTATTCTTCCATATCTCTTACAACTGAAAATATGAATGGCACTTGTCAGTTGCCAGAATATCTAGATTTCTGTATGACTCTCCTCTTTTTTAGTTTTGAACTGCTTGGATAACCACAGCATCTCTCCCAGTTAAGGGTTGGGAGGCATTCAGGGGTGGGAGAAGAATGAAAGTGGTTGCTGGGGTGCTGTCATGGGGGAGACACGAACCCCTCTAGAACAAAAGCAATATAAAGCAGAATAAATCAGAAATGGAGAAGATTCATAATCGCGTGACACATCACAGCACTTAACTGGTGCAAGTTGATGTAACTTGGATGACATCCATTGAGGCTTTCTGAATATCCCCAGATGCCTCCTGACTGAACTCCCAAGAAATGCAGAGCCATAAACTATGCAAAACTTTAAAGAGTTGGGGAGTGTTAAGTGACCCAAGAGACCTCAAGGGATGACTTCTCCTCCAAAATGTGCCACCTAAATAGCAAACATCAAATGCTTAGAATATTCAGTGATGAAGAGAATGCAAAACAATTGGTAGAAGAGGATGCAGGAGGAAGATTTCATACAAGATTTCAAATCTAACATGGCACAAGATGTTCTTGTAAAATCGTGTTTGATAATAACAATTACTTTTTATACAGTGATTATTCCTAGAATTGAACGCACACTGTCTTACATCATAACTGAGTTGGATGAGCGAGAACGAGAGGAGTTTTACAGGTAAGAGACCCAGCAAGTTAGACATTGAGTACTTTGAATCTAGAAATATTTTTGGCTTTCTAATGCAAAGTGCAGAAGAGGAAAGATGTCTGCATTAAAAATTCTGTGGAAGCCAGAGTTTATTTATCACCTTTACCCTCCAGCTTTTCACCACAACCATCCTGTGAAGTAAATTGGATTGAAAGTGACATGGCTGAAGTCACCCACTGAGCTTTCATGGTTGAGGTTGGACTTGAACCTGGTTCTCCTCAGTCCTCATCCAGTATCTTAGCAACTGCACCACAGTGGTCTACCTTAATGCTTACTGGGTGGTGAAGGATTTTCTGTGGGGTGGTTTACCTGCAAAATATGGCTTTGTGGTCATGAAGTTGCCTACCTTTGCTACATGTAGTAGGTCTCCTTGAGAGCTGGAGTTGCTTCAGCCAAACCTACTACAGGAATTTGGATGTTAAGGTCAACCCCCTTTTTTGACACATGCAAGGGATTATTCATAAGGTTCATAACTGGGGTGCTGTTAATGAGAGGACCCTACTCCTAACTACACTGTAAGTCAAAATGTGAGCAGAGCCTTTCCCAGTGATTTTAGTGCACAGTTTGGATAGTGTATAGGTAAGTGATTTGTAAGCAGTTGGGTATTACAGCGCAAAAGGATTACTGCAGAGCAAACTGCTTAAAGAGGGAAGAGGGAGCGGGGGAAGAGGGAGGGAGGAACAGGCAGGCAGATTTCTGACGCTCCCTGCAAGTTTCCCACAAGCAAAGTCAATGGGGAAGGTGGCAGCAAGTTGCAAATTACTCCCACTCCCACTGCTTTTTTGCCCTGGTCATTCTGTTTCTCTGTTTAGGTAAGGAAATATCTCTGAAACAATGACCCAATGGGTCATGGGTTGTCTTAGTAGTACTTATTTCTTGAAAATTGGTTCTCTTTTGAGAAATAGTAAATCATTACTACTCAGTTAATTTTGCCTAGGTAACACAGACTACATGAATTAAAGCTTTGCTTGGAGGAGACAGAGCCAGATTGGCTAAAGGATCCCTTCATTGTTTCTAAGAAGATGGATGGTTTGAATAATATTTACATGTGATACGAGTGATGTACTGTAACAACCAGAGATAGATACCCATGCAGCTTGACAGCCTCTTTTCCTCCCTCTTCAATGTATTGCAGGCACTTGGTGCCATTACAGTAAATAATAATCCATATCCACATTCCTGATCACTCATCTGCTCTTTTTGAAAGTTATTTTTCCCATCTTTTCTATAAATGGGGAGAGGTGGGGAAATTAGGCAATGCTGTACTTTTTCTTACATTTCCATTCTAAAAAGGATCAACAATAAAAAAATAAGCTTGACCTCATATGCCCCCCAGATTAAAGAAGATCCAAGAAAAGAAAAAGATACTTAAAGAGAAGAACGATAAACTGCAAGAATTACGGAAGGCTGCTGGAGAGCAAGAACCTGCCAATTTGCTTGCAGAAGAAAAAGACGAGGATCTTCTCTTTGAATAGCTATGGATATGAGTAAGTTGTGACTGAAAGCTACAAGTTATGCTACTTCGTGGACCTTATTTATGAAGCTTTTTCTTTGATGTATTAGCCTGAATATTCCACTCCAGACCTATTCAAGGAATGTTTTTGTTGTGGAAAATTGTTGTTTAATTAAACACTTGCATGAAGCAGGATCATTTCCATTTCCTGTTTGTCTTCATTCCTTTGGTATAAAAGTATGGTTTCTCCATGTACTGCCAAATTCTTGTAATAAGAATTTTTGTTCATGATCACAGGTGGAAACTATTATAATGACCATTTCAGAAATTCGTAACTTGGAATTGTGTTTTTTCTTTCCAAAAAAGGAAACACTTCTATTTTAAATGGTATCTCGATTGTACTGTAAAATCAATAAAGAAATATGGCTAAACAAATAAAGGGTATTGGTGTTTGTCAACCCCCCTTTAAGTGATCCTGGAAGTCCCTTGGGTGGTTTGCCACTGCCATTCCACATTCACCAGCCAGAGACCACTGGCTGCTTCAGCCCGGCTTTCCTGCATAGGATGCTAGTCAGCTTCTTTGGTGTTGTCCAGCTCTTGACTTACAGCTCAAACAGTATCACCCCACTTAATTGAAAGACTTAGCCCTCAGGGATTTCTGCCAAAGAACATTCTTGACTACCATGTTTTTGCTAAGATCTGTTATTATATGGCATGGAATACATAAAATAATTCAAGTGGCAAATAACTTTTGGGTAAGATTTTTTGGTACAAAATTAGGCTCAAAAGATTCTAAAAATGGAAGGGAAGGGATGGGAAAGCAAAATGCAACTATAATAATCTTACTGCCAAAAAATCTGAATGCCCATGCCTTTGAAGACAAAAATGTGTCTAATTGAGTGGTTTCTGCATTTTTGAAATATTTATTTAGTGGCTCACAATTGAAAGACATTTGAGAAATGTGGCTTTAAATCTTCAAAATACCTAAGGGGAACAGTCTGATTTTTTTCTTGCACGTGAAGTTCTGAAATAGGGTATCACTATGTTAATTTCCTTCTTACTCAGAATTACAGCTTTATACCGAGAGGCAAGGTAGAAGAACTCATTTTACTTCAATGGGTGTGAAATATAGGTAGTCCTTATTTACTGACCATTTGTTCAGCAACTGTTCAAAGTTACAATGGTGCTGAAAAAATAACTTTATGGCCCATTTATGACCATGACAGCATCCCTCAGTCATGTGATCATCACTACAGTCAGTGTGCATTGTCCTGTGCCTGACCTGTGTTTCTCCCTCACCTTGCAAAGTGGATTGATTGGAAAAAGGATTGCAAGAAAACAAGCTGTTCACTCTTCTACACATTGAAAGCAATGCGATCACGCTGGCAGCCTGGCGTAAACAGCTTACAGTATTCTCTTGAAATCTCTTCCTCTCCAATCTCTGCTCTGCAAGGGGAGTGGGGAGAAAGCAAATGATATCTGTAGGCAATCTCCTTTACCTGACCCTTTCCTGCTGCCAGCATGATCACATTGCTCTCAATGTGTAGAAGAGCCAACAGTTTACTCACTTGAAATCTCTTTCTCTCCAATCTCTCTGCTCTGTTGGGGGGGGGGGGGGAAAAAAGTAGGTGATTTCTGTAGGCATTTTCTCCTTTGCTTGACCCTGCCCCCCAGAGCAGAGAGATTGGAGAGAGATTTCAAGAGAGTACTGTAGGCTGTTTGCATAGTGCAACTGCAGCTCCCAGCCCCAGGCGCACTCACATTGTTTTCGATGTGTACAAGACAGTAAGCAGGCACTCAAGCATTCCAAAGGATGGGGAATGGTTGGGAGGGAAACAAAAGCTGAAGGTGTGAAACTGAGTTGTCTCTTTCCAGCTGGAAAACAGTTGTGGTCACATGATTTCTCATCTAATGACTGCTTTGCTTAGTGGTGGAGTTGCTGGTCCCAATTAGGATTGTTAAGCAAGGACTACATGTATGTGGGATGATGTCAGACTGAATAGTGGAAAATTCTGCCTTTACGTGATGTTTTGCCTATGCTCCATTTTTGGATACACACTGGTAACCACTATGTGAAATACATCAACATCAGAAGAAAAGCACTAGAGGAAAATGCAAGAAGCCCCCCCACCCAAAAAAAGAGTAAGAAACATTTAATGAGAGTTTAAAGAAACAAGAGTTTCTTTAATTGAAAATAAAGATTTGCACGGGACAATTAGAAATGTGAACACTTAATTTTCCTCTCCCCTCCAAAGGCAAATTTACTAATGAGCATAAGATTCTGGTATTTACAAAACATACACTTTGTGCAATATAAGTAAGAAGTGAACTTTATTTTTGGTAAGCAAACAATGGTGCAAGATTGGCTAATTCTTTCCCAAAGGACAGTGAAAAAGCTCCACAATTTAACACATGCAATATTCAAGTTTCATTTGTTCAGTCCGTACCTTGTCAGAAGGACGTTATAAGCTGCATCTGAATTGTTAGGTCAGGTTGAAAATATTCTGAAATTTATTCAAGGACTAAAAAAATTTATTTAAATATTCTTGGGCACACCTCTAACATTTGGAAAAAGTCACCACTGAGAATCAGCTGTGCAGTTAGACATCTCTACTAACTTACCTCTTTCTGCAAAGCGGGGGACAATGCACAGAGAATGTTAGTTATCATGCCCAAAGTAACCTTTTAGTCTGCTAATCTGATGGATCTGAATTGAACTCTCACAGATAAGGCCTTGTGCCAACATGGTTTCCTATTTAATCATTACATAAAAGAAAATTGGACTGATGCAATTGAATAGTAAAAGGACTTCAAGCAAGTATAAAAATCAGGTGGCTTTTGTTTCCACAGTACATAGTGGCTTTAGGAACTGCCATCACATCTCTACAGTTGATTATATCCAACTCCATTCATCTGCCAGCTGAAGAGAGAACACTGGTAGAACACATTCTTCCACAGCTGGTAAACCCACTTCTACCCCACAGAGTTTGGAGACTCCCAGGAACGAGTCTGGGTAGTGTCAGTGGAAGCAGTTTTGTATAATGTTAAATCCAGTGATAGTCAAGAGGGCTGTCTGCACTTCATTCAGAAGTGCTTGGTGCCTTGCATGAGCACAGCACTTCTCTACTCGTCCTTAAAACAGCCTGACTTTTTTTCAGCTTCCACAGGAGCCTGAATAAAAAGTAATTCTGCTTTAAGAGTTTCACTAATTGTAAAATAAGTAGGTTCCTTTAAGCAGGGGCAACCTTTGTTCAGTCTTGCCAGAATCCCAAAAAGTGTCAAGATGCTTTAATAAACAGAGAAGCGTGATGCTCACAAAAGGGAATTCTTCTGAATTATTGAAGCATGCACAGCCCTAATAGCCAAAATAAGTTCACTATTAGCCTTTACCAATCAAGCACTTTCCATATGTCTTAAGACTGCAAGTCACAGAATTCTTCATCTTGGCCATGCTGCCTGGGAATTCTGGGAGCTGCAACCCCAACACATCTGGAAGCACCAAGCTAGAAGGATGTTAGGAACAATGCTGGTGGTGTTTATCACCACAACAGACTGCACTGCAGTCTTTTTATCTAATTCCATACATTTATCTTTATTACAATAGTTTGTAATATTAAGCCACTAAAATGAAAATATATTAACAGTTAACATTTACTTGAAGGCAAGAAATACACATTTTTACATTAGTATACAGTTTTTAGCATTGGTGCATGGGTACAGTTACCTTACAAGCTGCAAAGTCATCCCATCAGCCTCTTACTTTCCTGTTTAGAAAGACATGGTTACGTTCATGTCAATGAGATGTTTACTTGGTTAAAAATGTTCCCGTTTCAATAGCCAAGAAAAATCCAATACACTCATTCAGCATACAGCAAAACACTTAAATAATAGTATATTCAATGTCTCTAATTTTTTCTAATCATCATGCATTTTGAAAGACTGTGAAACAGCCTTCAAAATACATGCTTTCAGCAGCAGAATAAAGGACTAAATTTGTTATTATTGGTTGATCTATAAAATACCAATTTTAACAATCTTAATACTATTATTTGGATTTGTTGCATCTGTGTAACTAAACATTTTTGTAGATTTTTTATACTCATCTTCTTATATTATTTAATAATTTCTCTGTTCAGCAAACTGTAGTTAGATTCTTAATCTTAGAAATTCAAAAGGCAACAAATGTAACAAAGGGTTTCATTGCTTTGTGTATCTTAAAATTTAATACACTCATTGCTGTGGCATGCCAATTTCATTAATTCATCTATTGCCCCAGAATGTACCCTGGATCACACCAGAATTCAAGTATGATAATGAAAAAAGCTGTAGGTCAGTATTTTGCATGCGTATAAATGTTACACCTATTGCAAAAGATCAAATACAGATTTTTATACCTACAGTGTATTCCTACAGACACAACATTTTTCTTTAAAGGTAAGTCTGCTTTAAGTTGTGCTTGATTCCTCATGACTTCAAAGACATTTGCTTGAAGTATTCTTAGCAACAAAACTGAAGTGCTTTCCCTGCCTTTTTCAACTTCTCAGTTTAATCTACAGTCCTGGGATTTTCTGATGATTTCTTATCCAAGCCCAACCTTGTTAAACTTTTCAAGATTAGCCAAGGGTGGTGAGATATGGTCATTTTTTAGCCATAATTATGAAGAACAGGAAATATGTCTTCAAAGTTGTATGCCTGGCCTACAAACTTAACTAGGTTTTAAATGTTCAATGCAAGTTTAACCAGAATAAACAAAACTATAAGTTATATATGACAGGGTGGGATGGGAAATAAATTATGTGATCCCATAGTGCACTCCTGATCCCTTAAGCAAAGAAAAAGGCTGGGATGCATTACATCTCAAATGACCTGTAACAATCACCAATATTTAGGAACAATCACAACTCAAATGAAGAAAAATACATCATTTCTGTGTCATGCATTCCAGGCAAAATTGACTATTTGAGATGCATAATAATAATAATAATAATAATAATAATAATAATAATAATAATAAGGAATTATTCCATATCATTTCTATTATCTACTGGAAGGCTTTACTGGATGAGGCACATTAGTGGGTGATTATTTTACCATCACTTTATAAATATAAGACCATTTATATAGAATTTGAATGGGAGGGAACTGTTTTATATTTCAGATGAATATGACCAGATTATTTTTTTTGTCTTCTCTTCTTGCCTGCTAAGGGATGCCTATAATACTGAGGAATTTCAGTTCTTAAACCACTTTTCCCACACAGTCTCTATGTGCCATATAGCATGTTCAACAATGAACAAAAAACAGTATTATTCTTGCTGAATTCTTTTCTATTTCATATTTTATGAGGAAAAAATGAAAGAACATAGAGAAACAGCTAATACTTCACCTATTCAACTACATGTTGAAGTAATTCCAGTGTAAGACAGTATATAAAAATAAAAGCTATGATTGAGAAAAATAACTATCAATATTCACATTCAAGGGTGCCACCCACAAGGAAGTAACAAAACTAATCTGTTTCAAAAAAAAGCTACTACTGGAGAAGCTGCAATATTTAGCCAATGGACATTTTCATGAGGGATCTCATGGTTCTAGAAAAGAGAATAAGACATGTTCCTAACATTCATATTATCTTACTGTTACTTAATATTAACTCCAACAGTCATGAGACACCTTGTGCCTAGGTATAAAAATACAAGAATGGACGCTAATATTCAGTATCCCCAAGTCTGTTTTTTGTTTATGAAAACAATTTTACATTGTAAGGAAGCAAAGCCTTGTAAAAAAAAATCCATGTAAGAATTATTGTCATAAAAATATAGCTTCCCTTCTAAAATGTTCCACAGTTCCTTGGGATAACAGTAGCTCCCAATTAACTGATGTAGATAAAAGGGGAAAAAATCTATAAAAATATCACATCTAAAATATTGACATATATAGAATTCATCTCTCAATGGAACCTTGTTATTTAATAAGCTATCAATCTGATTTATAAAGTATCTAAAGACAAAAAATGTTTGATTATTTACATTGTACATATTTTTAAAAAACTGCAGTGCTATTGGATAAAGGAATGTTTCATTAAAAACAATTTCAAGCCTAAGGACAACTCCATATAAGTGGCCCCTTTATACTACTAAGAAGAAAATGAGCAGATTAGTTCCTTTTTCCTCCTGATTATTTCATTCATCCAATATTTTGTAAAGGTATTTTTGAAAGCTACAGTAATTTTATTAGATCATTAAGTTACCAATGTTAAGTAACCAATATTAATAATGATCATGGACTGTATACATATACTTGCTTGAAGAACAAAACTCTAGACAAAAAGAAGCTGTTAGAAAAACTACTTAAATAATTAAAATGTGGCTTGTTCACACTGTGTCTAATTAAAAGTAGAGAAAGTCAGACATTTTACAATCACAGCAAGTGTTGGACTTGAGTATTAAATGAATTAGCAAGGATGAGAAGGATGCAATTGGCAAAGACCTTTTCTTCATTGGCATGGTTCTTTTTCATCGCAGCCACGAGGATGGAACCCACTGAGGTTCTGTATCAAGTTTGTTAATTAAACGAAGTAATTCTTGATATGCTTTATCAATATCAGAATTCACAATCGCTGTATCAAAGTAATGGCCATTATTTTGCTCCATCTCTCTGGTTTTCTCTATGATTTCTCTTAGTTCTTCTGGCTGAAATTGAAGTGGAAAAAATATCCTATATCAGTAAATATTTATCGTGCTGTTTCTCACACACATACAGATAGCCTTATAGAAAAGCCGCACTCAGCTGCATAAGAGGAAACAATAATATAAGACAGATGGGTCTCAGGATAAAAACAACTGATTTTCTTTCTTCTTTTTAATCCAAAGCATTTCTGACAAGTTTTAATCAGCAGTGGAAGTTTGTGAGGGGGAGGTCAAAGAAGTCTATTTTTGATTTATCCTTGCTTTTATTAAACTTATCTCCCTTAACCCAGTAGAACTCATTCACAAATTTAGACTAATTTTAAGAACTAGGGGAAAATCTTTTGTTACTAGTTAAATATAGCTGGGTGTTACTTAACAAGATCATCAATAGAAAAGGGAAATCAATGAAGTTTCTCCTCATATCAGAACCAAAACTCTAGTAGAGCCAGTAGGTTAGAAAGTAACCATATAATTTTCCTCTTTAAACATTATCAATGGGACAAGGGCACCCAGCCATAAGGAAATAGATTGGAATATTACAGGAGAATATAAAAAGGCTGAAAATATACACTGGTATACATTACAATGGTGTGCTTATCCAAAAGCTTAGACAACACAATTGAAAACATTACCTATGAGTATTACCTTTGGATTTTTGCCCTCTTTGGCCAGCAGTGCACGAAGCCGTTCTTGTGAAGGTGGTGCAATGAAGATAATGTATGGTTTCAAGTCTGAATTGCGTAAACTCTTCAACGACTAATGTGAAAAACAAATTTGTGCTATTAATATCCATATCAAACAAAATGAAACCTCTATAAATGCCAATTAGTAGTAGTATGCCCTTTTTTACTAAATTGTTTATAAGAACCATAAAAACAAAAGGGGTATGTTGGATGAACTAGCATAACATGATACAAATTAGAAACAGGAACTGGATTTGGGCAACTGAATTCAAGATCAATCTTCTTAATATTAGGCTACGTTATCCACAAAGCTGCCATTTTACAGAAAGTAGTACAGAAAGCACTACAGGCATTATTAAAAGTCAAAGCTATGTAATGAATTTTTTTTTTACATGTTAGTAGTATAATAATAGAAAAGTGCTTCTTTAATATTCCAATAAATCTAGATTTGGGCATATGACTTTTTCAGGAACTCATAAATATATCCTTGCCAAACGTGATTAACAATGCTACTGCAATTTGCAGTTGTTTTCAAACATTGTATAAGATCATTCTGTTTCTTCACTTTTAAATATGAAAATCATAAAGCCCATAAAATGATTTAAGGGATAGCAGATGAAAACGTAAAGCTTCTCTAAAAAAAATAATCCTCTTCTGAACTTGGCTGTTGAAAAAAATCGAAAATGACCAAATATATTATAGGGATGCACAGCTTCCTGTGTCTGTGGTGGTAAGAACTAGGATGTGAAAAGTTCAATAGCTATAGTCTTCAAAGAGAAAGGTAAGGTAATTATCTTCAACTAGAAGCTTTTTAGCATCGCTGTCACATAAACTGATGCTCAGTACAAATAAACCATTGAACATGCAAAATTAACAAATAATGTTTAAATTTCTTAACAAGGCAGAAACAATTCTCATGTTAATCAATTACTGTAGTACAATAACATTTCATCAAAAATATACTCAAGCTGAACTACTGCAACCTAGCATTTAAAACTTTAGAGTCCAAAAGCAATTTCATTACCTGTGTATGAAGATTTAAGAGACATATCTTTCCAGAATTGATCACCTGCCGGACAGAGTCTATGCTGGTACCATACAGATTCTTCTCAAATTCACCATGCTCAATAAACTTTCCTGCTGTAATATCAGTCTCAAATACTTGCCGTGATACAAAATGGTAATCCCTGCCAGCTACTTCATTGTCCCTCCTATTCCGTGTTGTATCTGAAAAGACCAATAAGCAGACTTAGTAAACCTTGAGTAAGAACCTGCATAAATGACATTTATAATGTATCAGTTTTCAAGACTTCATGAACAACAGCTATCTGGAAAAGAACTTTTTTCAGCAGAGTGTTCTTGGGCTAAATTAAGAGTTTTGAGCTCTATATCCAAAAGACTTAAATTCCTTAAATGGGCTCAAAAATTGTTACACATTGCAACAATTTCTAACATATATCCAGTCATATATAGCACATTTCCAGGCATGCAGATGAATTAAGAACACAGTTGAACACAGGATATGGAGAATGACACATGCAGTTGAAATTACTGAAACATAAACAGAATAACAAGACATAAATGAGAAATAACTAAATTGGTAATAATGTGAAGTTTTTGTGAATGGGGTTGGTAAATTTCTCTTTACAATAACTTCATATTTATGCAAGGCATATTAATAACAAATACACATCTAAGGAAGACTAGACTAAAGCATCTTCCCTCAATATCACTATATCTCAAGTGTACTAAGCTTGGAAAATGACATACTAAGAATTTGAGCAGCGACATGCCCATAATTTCAACTTACGAGGAACTGCAGAAGCAAATCGGTCAGCTTCATTATTCATTAACCTTTGCCACAGTTCATTTTGACCACAGTTCTGGGGACCAATCAGGACAATAGGTCGTTTCCTATTTGCTGGCTGGTGATAAAGTGACATTTCCTCATAAGTCAAAATCTCCTCGTTGTCATAATCTTCAAAAAGAAAGCCCAAAATAAATGTACAAGTTTAAAGAAAAGCTTTTTCTTTTTTTCTATAACAATTCTTCTTGCATCACTGACTAGCTGAGAAAGATAAATACAATTTTCCAAATATCAGAATTTGGATTTTAACAATAATTTGAAGTGTTTTCTTGCATTGCTAGTTCTTACAAATATATATATATATATATATACTGCTGTAC